ACCTAAGTGTAGTTACAGGATGAGAGCTACGCTCGTGGTGTCCCGTCTTCCCAGCACTCTTTGTCATATAACGCTTTGAAACTACTGACGGTCTTGGCCTCCACCACCTTCTCACTTAACTTGTTCCAACCGTCTACCACTCTATTTGCGAAGGTGAATTTTCTTATATTTCTTCGGCATCTGTGTTTAGCTAGTTTAAATCTATGACCTCTTGTTCTTGAAATTCCAGGTCTCAGGAAGTCTTCCCTGTCGATTTTATCAATTCCTGTAACTATTTTGTATGTAGTGATCATATCACCTCTTTTTCTTCTGTCTTCTAGTTTTGGCATATTTAATGCTTCTAACCTCTCCTCGTAGCTCTTGCCCTTCAGTTCTGGGAGCCACTTAGTAGCATGTCTTTGCACCTTTTCCAGTTTGTTGATGTGCTTCTTAAGATATGGGCACCACACAACAGCTGCATATTCTAGCTTTGGCCTAACAAAAGTCATGAACAATTTCTTTAGTATATCGCCATCCATGTATTTAAATGCAATTCTGAAGTTAGAAAGCATAGCATAGGCTCCTTGCACAATATTCTTTATGTGGTCCTCAGGTGATAGTTTTCTATCTAGAACCACTCCTAGATCTCTTTCTTTATCAGAATTCTTTAAAGATTTCTCACATAATATATAGGTTGTGTGGGGTCTATGTTCTCCTATTCCACATTCCATAACATGACATTTATTAACATTAAATTCCATTTGCCAAGTGGTGCTCCATATACTTATTTTGTCCAGGTCTTCTTGAAGGGCATGACAGTCATCTAAATTTCTTATCCTTCCTATTATCTTAGTATCATCAGCAAACATGTTCATATAATTCTGTATACCAACTGGTAGATCATTTATGTACACAATAAACATCACTGGTGCAAGAACTGAACCCTGTGGTACTCCACTTGTGACATTTCTCCATTCTGATACATTGCCTCTGATTACTGCCCTCATTTTTCTATCAGTCAGAAAATTTTTCATCCATGATAGAAGCTTACCTGTCACCCCTCCAATATTTTCCAGTTTCCAGAACAACCTCTTATGTGGAACTCTGTCGAAAGCCTTTTTTAGGTCCAGATAGATGCAGTCAACCCAACCATCTCTTTCCTGTAATATCTCTGTGGCTCGATCATAGAAACTGAGTAAATTCGATACACAGGATCTTCCAGATTGAAAACCATACTGTCTGTCTGATATTATATCATTTCTCTCTAGGTGTTCTACCCATTTAGTTTTGATTAGTTTTTCCAATACTTTCACTATTACACTTGTCAATGATACAGGTCTATAATTGAGGGGGTCTTCCCTGCTGCCACTTTTGTAGATTGGAACTATGTTAGCCTGTTTCCACCCGTCTGCTACGATTCCTGTACACAGGGATGCCTGAAAGATCAGGTGAAGTGGAATGCTGAGCAATGGGTGTACATACGTGCTTGAGAACATAGAACATACAAACAGTTGTGCCTGCAGAGGGGCTATTGGCCGATACGTGGCAGCTCTTGTTTCTAACCACCCAGTTCAGTCATCAGAGTGCAGGTGACTGCAGGAGGCCTCTTGGCCCATACGAGGTGGCTCCTGACTAGACTCATCCTGCCCCTCTCCTATGCTTGTCCAACCATGCTTGAGTTTCGGGGCCCCACCTCCACCTTGTTCCAAGGTACAAAGTGGAGGTGCCTGTTCAGTGGTGCATGTTCCTGTGTCATAGGTGTTATGTACTCACCTAATTGTGCTTGCAGGGTTGAGCTCTGGCTCTTTGGTCCTGCCTCTCAACTGTCCATTAACTGATGTAGTACAGATTCCTGAGCCTCCTGGACTCTATCGTCTCTACATTTGAAACTGTGTGGGGTCGGCCTCCACCACATCCCTGCCTAATGCGTTACATCTGTTAACTACTCTGACACTGACCGAGTTCTTTCTAACGTCCCTGTGGCTCATTTGGGTACTCGGTTTCTACCTGTGTCCCCTTGTTTGCATACAACCCGTGTTACAGTTTATCTTTATCTACCCTGTCAATTCCTCTGGGAATGTGGAGACGTTTTGCTGCGGTTTAGATACTGCAACTGCGTGTGGGAGTATGGTCGTGGCGTTTTGTTCGGCCCTTCCGTGCTTCTTTCTGGGGCCTTCCTTGTTTGGGTTCTTTGTTCCCATGATTTTTCTGGTTCCCTCATTCCTTGCCGGTCTTGCTGTACTGAGCTTCGCTTTTCCATGTTCATTGGGCTCTGTCCTACCATCGTTGTCCTCACCTAGTTGTGCTTGCTGGGGATTAGCTTTTGTCTCTTCATCTCACCCCTCGCCTGTCATTCGATTTCTGTTCAGGTTCCAGAGCCTCCTGGGCTCTCTTATCTGCACTTGACGCTGGGTGTTGGGTTGGCCTCCGCCACATCCCTTCCTCATGCATTCCTATTGTCGCCTGCTCTGACACTGGTATGCTTCTTCTATCTTTTATAAGGCTCATTTGGGCGTTCAGTTCACCTTGTTGCCCCTGTTACGTGTGCCCTATGTGTTGGTGGTCATGTTCCCTCTGGGTCATCAGTCTCCTGGGGGCGTGTGGACATGTCCAGCGGCTTTTGGTGTTGGTCCTGTCCCTTCGTTCCCTTTGCTGCCTACCTTCTTCGTTCCTCAGCTTCCTTTTGTCCTCCACGTTGTGTGCTTTGCTTGTGCCTTTTGGCTCCTGTTGCCAGGATTCGATTCTGGTTCCTGACTTTCCTGGCCTGTTGGTATTTTCAGAGTCTCATGATGTCCCTTCTCTGGAGTCTGTCAGGGTCTTGGTCTCCACCCTCCTGGTGGCTCGCTGGCGTTGGAACGTTTTTTGATACGGCAGATGTTCCATCTCCTTCTTTGCCGGCTCGGGTTTCTGGCTCTGCCTGCTTGGTGGTAGCACCCAAGGTCTTACCGCGGCTCCGCCTCTTCCTTGGCTCGTTCGGCTCTGCCTCGAGTCTCGCCTTCTGTTGGTGGTCGGGTGGCTTCATTGCTGGTGTCCCACCTGCGTGCTTCTTCTTGGCGGCAGTTTGGGGTGTTTTGGCGGTCCTTCCTTTTTTCCTTCTGTCCCTTCTTCGGTGGTATTGTGTTGTTGGCGTGGTCTTGTCCTTCTCCTATGTGGATTCGGGGCCGTCATTTTGCCACATACTGTCGCCTTGTTTCGTTCGGCACTGGCGGAGCCGCTTCTGCTTGCGTTCGGTGTTGATGTTATTTCTGCGTCGTTCCGCACGCTGTCTCGTGCATTGGTTCACCTCCGGCCTGCTCATGTGCCATCTGAGCTGTCCTGGTCATGGGACTGAGTGCTCTCTTTCTTCTCGGTTCTTGTGGCCCCTTCGGTTCCGGTGGGTATCTTGGAGGCTCTTTTCCTGTTGGCGTTGGCCTCAGGGGGTCGGGTTGATGAGCCTCTTGCTCTCCTCCAGCACTGGGGTTTCCTGCTCCTTTGGTCAGGGCGATCGTTTTGTTTCTCTGCGGCCTTCTCCTTCTTTTCTGGCGTAGAATGTGACTGCTGCTTTCCAGAGGGGTCCCTGGGTTGTTGATGCCTTGTTGGTTTGGCAGGAGGTGCTTCTGGTTTTGTGCCCGGTTGTGGTTCTCCGCCGTTTTTGGCGCGCCACGGCTTCTGTGTCCGTGGACACGCTTTGGGTTTGTCCGGTTTCCTTTCTTCCCTCTTCGCAGGTGCGGGTCTCCCGGGTTGTCCGCAGGGTTATTAAGGCTGGCCGACCTGCGGCGTCTCCCCGTGCCCGTGATGTTCGCAAGTTAACGGCTCTTGCTGCTCTTCCTTGGGACTGTGTCTTGGGCGGACTTTCGGGTGTGGTGATTTTGGCGGTTATTCTGGATCCTGGCTGCCCGTTGCCTTGTTCGCGTCCTTAGGCCTGGTTGGGCCTATGTCGCTTTGGGTTGGCTGTGGCAGCCGTTGTCTCGCTTCGTTTTGAGGTGTGAGCGGTGGCCGCCTCCCGGATACGTCTCTTAGACCTTCCTCTGTGGGTAGTTAGCTCCGGGGAGCCGACGGGGCTCCCCCCAGAAAACCAGCATTGAATGTACTGTAATGAAACGCCATTTTCTGGGTGAGACCCGGAGGCTCCTCAGCAACCCTCCCTCCCTCCCTCCAGTCAGCGGTTTTCGCGTGTTTTGACATCCAGCCTCAGAACTGATGGGTGGATAGCCGGCGTGAGAGGTCTGGGGCTCCCCCTTCCCCCTCCCGGGGAGGGAGGAGCTGCACAGACAGCAGCGCGGTGACGTGTGACGTCATACTAGTTTGCTTGTTTTCTGTTGGGGAGTTCTATCCACTAGTTTGGCTTTTGGTAGCAATTTTAACCAGAATAGGGGTTTGTTTTGGAATGCTTATCTTTCTGGATGCTTGACCCGGTTGATGGCAGACATAGAATGCTTCCAACCACACGAGGGTTTCTATAGGCCATTGCTCCCCTTGCCTCTCTGAGGGGGCCAGGTTCTGGCCGTGGTCCCTGGTAAGCCATAAGAACTCCATACACATGACTGATGCCAAAGTCTGACATTAGCATATCAGCCCGGTATAGCATCCTTGGGAAAGTCAATTATTGGCCCAGACGAAAGCCTGAATAAAAACAACAGGTTTCTTATCCCCAACAGTGAGGAACCTCATTGTTTAGTAAATATCTGATATAAAACTAATTTGTATATTTCACCTTTAAAATTTCTCTCCTAGGATTTATTGTTGCTTCTGGTGCACTGCTATTATTTACTTGATTTTTCCTGATTCATTTACAGGACTGGGCTTTCCTATGGTTGGTATAAGACACGTCTTTTAATATGTCTATACATTTTATAAATCATTCCTCAGTACTGTAGTTTTTATCACCCATCATTTGTGAATATCATAGTGAACAGGTCACTTGAAAATGCCTTTTAAAACCTCCTTGATAGGATTTTCTCTTCAAAATATATTATTCTATTAATCATATTGTAACAGGAACAAATGGTGCCCAAATTATTTTTCTTTTTTATACGTTTCAGAATTAGGGCTTGCTGCCGAGACGTACATGAAGGCAGGGAAGCTTGTGCCAGATGACGTGATGGTAAATCTGATTGCCTCTGAGCTTGCACGTATGAAGACAACTTCATGGCTGCTTGATGGCTTCCCTCGGTCTAGACCACAAGCAGAAGCACTGCATCAGCAAGAGAAGGTAGGGATGGTATGGGTAATAAGTTTGTATTAGAGGTTATGTTTCTTCTCTACTGTATTTAACAAAATTTCTGAAGGTACACACCTATGTTCACTTAAGTTGAAAGATTTAAATCTGATTGCCTCTGATTTGGATAACTATTAATAAATGTTTACTTTAAAGTACAGTAATTTATTATTATTATTATAATGTTAGAATTTGAAGAGTATTTGAAGACATATATGTGTTTTGTTTTCAGAAAATTTCTTATTATACAGTTGCATATATTAGCCATTAGCCACTTTATATTTTGTATTTAAGTCTTGAAATTGTGTACACTTGCATCCTATTATTATATCTATTTTAAGTATAATTTAGTTTTATTTTGCTATATTATCGTTTATGACATCAAACTAATTATTTTTTAGCTTTAAACAAAATTGGCTTCAGAATAAAAATTAAATAGATTTTTATTTTTTAGACATGTTTAACATGGCATTTTCTTTCTCTGTCAAAGGTTCATTGTTGCATTTTGTACAGACTATTCTTCCATCATTAGTGAAGCTGTATGGAGAGGGTTTTTGTTAGTTAACCAATTCATGAGTTGTAGTGTTACGCCTATTGAGATTATATATTTGTGAACCACTTTGTTAAGGAGACTGTAGTTATTCCATAAAAAATAGGTAAGCATATTTATACACTACATTTATACACTATATTTATACACTACTGTAGAAACCCACTAATCCGGAATCCACCAATCCGGAAAATGCCCTAATCCGGCAAAATGGTGGCCGGATAAAGTTATCTCCCTATTCGGCCAAAATGTCCACGGAAGCCGAACTAGCAGATATTTAGCTGGATCAGCGGCCTAACACTCATTGTACACCACCACCAAGATGGGAAAGTGTGGTCGTTAAGACAAGATCTTTCAAAAGAAGATAGGGAGAAGCTGAAACTGAACCTCGCCGAGGCAAAACGTTTAAATGAGAGCAGGAATGAAGAAGAAATCAATTCTTTTTTCTACAAAGTGATAGCGGTAGGCAGACCAGTAAAGTGGTACATAAAGGCAAAGAAGCAAAATTGTTAGAGAAAGGGGGGAGTGAAAAATAAGAAGAGGGGGAACAAGTTCCTGAAGATTGTATACACCAACATAGATGGAGTAAGATCGAAGATACTGGAGTTAAGTGATGTAATACAGCTGCAGACACCAGACATTGTTGCACTCACGGAGACAAAAACTTGAAGATGTTATTTTAAATGAGGTCATATTCCCAAGGGGCTACTCAATTTGGAGACGGGACAGAAAAACTAGGAAAGGCGGTGGCGTTGCTGTGCTGGTGAAAGAACACCTAAAGGTGAACGAAATAATGACTGCCAATCCACAAGAAGTTGACATAATAGCACTAGAGATCTGCCATGAGGATGATAAACTAATGATCATAAATGCCTATAGTCCACCGCCAAGCAGCACATGGTCAAAGGAGGAGCTAGATAGTAAACGAGAAGGTCTTATAACAATAATGAGAGAGATCATAGCGAGAGTGGATAACGATAGATCACGACTGTTGATAGTCGGCGACTTCAACTTGAAATCCTTAGACTGGGAAGCATATGAAGCTAAAACATAAGATTTTTGGACCTGTAAATTTGTAGACCTCATCCTGGAAACATTCTTGTATCAACATGTTAAACAAGCTACGAGGATGAGGGAAGGGGATGTTCCCTCCATGCTAGATTTGATATTTACCAGGAAGGAGGAAGAAATATTTGACATTCAGTACCTTTGTCCCTTGGGTAAAAGTGAATATTCCCAAAAAAATCTTTTTGGGAATAAAGTATGCAATGCATTATAATCTGGAAGAAAATAAGAAGGTTGATGCAATTGAAAAACCTGACTTTAGGAGAGGACATTATGGCAACCTTGGAAAAATTTTTAGTGAGTATAATTGGACAAGCTTGTTGCTAGGCAAGGAAGTGAATGAGATGTATGTCAAGTTTTGTGAAATATATGATAAAGGCACAAAAAAATGTATACCAAAACAGAGATGCAGAACTAGGAAACAGGATTGGGTCAACAGAAATTGCGAGAGGGCCAGAGACCAAAAGACACAAAAATTGGATCAATACAGGAAGAGGCCAAACCCCCAAACATACCAGCGATACAAAGATGTGAGAAACAACTACACGGCAGTGAGGAGAGAGGCAGAAAGAAATTTTTAAAAAGGGATTGCAGACAAATGTAAAACAGAACCAGGTCTATTCTATACATTCATAAACAACAAATTGCAGGTAAAGGATAATATTCAGAGGTTGAAAATGGGAAATAGATTCACAGAAAATGAAAAGGAAATGTGTGAAACATTAAACGAAAAGTTCCAAAGTGTGTTTGTACAAAATGAAATCTTCAGGGAACCAGACACAATAAGAATTCCAGAGAACAACATAGAGCACATAGAGGTGTCTAGAGATGAAGTGGAAAAAATGCTCAAGGAGCTAAATAAGAACAAAGCAGTTGGTCCAGATGGAGTTTCACCATGGGTTCTGAGAGAATGTGCACCTGAGCTCAGCATTCCACTTCAACTGATTTTTCAGGCATCCCTGTTTACAGGAGTTGTAGCTGATGTGTGGAAAAAGGCTAACATAGTTTCAATCTACAAAAGTGGCAGCAGGGATGACCCCCTTAATTATAGACCTGTATCATTGACAAGTGTAATAGTCAAAATATTGGAAAAAATAATTAAAACTAAATGGGTAGAACACCTGGAGAGAAATGATATAATATCAGGCAGACAGTATGGTTTTTGATCTGGAAGATCCTGTGTATCGAATTTACTCAGTTTCTGTGGTCGAGCAACAGAAATATTACAGGAAAAAGATGGTTGGGTTAACTGCATCTATCTGGACCTAATAAAGGCTTTCGACAGAGTTCCACATAAGAGGTTGTTCTGGAAACTGGAAAATATTGGAGGGGTGACAGGTAAGCTTCTAACAAATGATGAAAAATTTTCTGACTGATAGAAAAATGAGGGCTGTGATCAGAGGCAATGTATCGGACTGGAGAAATGTCACATGTGGAGTACCACAGGGTTCAGTTCTTGCACCAGTGATGTTTATTGTCTACATAAATGATCTACCAGTTGGTATACAAAATTATATGAACATGTTTGCTGATGATGCTAAGATGATAGGAAGGATAAGAAACTTAGATGATTGTCATGCCCTTCAAGATGACCTGGACAAAATAAGTATATGGAGCACCACTTGGCAAATGGAATTTAATGTTAATAAATGCCATGTTATGGAATGTGGAATAGGAGAACATAGACCCAACACAACCTATATATTATGTGAGGAAATCTTTAAAGAATTCTGATAAAGAAAGAGATCTAGGGGTGGTTCTAGATAGAAAACTATCACCTGAGGACCACATAAAGAATATTGTGCGAGGAGCCTATGCCACGCTTTCTAACTTCAGAATTGCTTTTAAATACATGGATGGCGATATACTAAAGAAATTGTTCACGACTCTTGTTAGGCCAATGCTAGAATATGCAGCGGTTGTGTGGTGCCCCTATCTTAAGAAGCACATCAACAAACTGCAAAAGGTGCAAAGACATGCTACTAAGTAGCTCCCAGAACTGAAGGGCAAGAGCTACAAGGAGAGGTTAGAGGCATTAAATATGCAAAAACTAGAAGACAGAAAAAAAAGAGGTGATATGATTACTACATACAAAATAGTAACAGGAATTGATAAAATCGATAGGGAAGATTTCCTGAGACCTTGAACTTTAAGAACAAGAGGTCATAGATTTAAACTAGCTAAACACTGATGCCAAAGAAATGTAAGAAAATTCACTTTCGCAAACAGAGTGGTAGACGGTTGGAACAAGTTAGGTGAGAAGATGGTGGAGGCCAAGACCGTCAGTAGTTTCAAAGCATTATATGATAAAGAGTGCTGGGAAGACGAGACACCACGAGCATAGCTCTCATCCTGTAACTACACTTAGGTAATTACACAGTCAGTAAACGATGCTATCTCCCTCCGTCCCTCAGTATTACTCCTCCCACAGTGCTAATTATCACAACAATCCTGCTATTATCACAATCCTGGTCATTTTTATCACAGTCAGGGGTCATCTGTAATACTGTCATCACTAAATAATAGCAGTTATATATTTATTTTGATATTTTTCGGCGATGCTGTGGTCACAAGCTGAACAACAATGCTGTTCCCTCATGCTGCGTGCTCCAGCCTTGGTTGCTCCAACAGTACTGTAGCTCTTACACCGGTGAATATTGCTCACGATTTAAAAAAAAAATGGCGTCTGTTTACAAGAGCCCTGAGGAAGCTAATTTAAACCTCGTGTAGCCGCGGGCCATTTGAATCGTGCCTGGCACCCTATGGCGTATATATACGCCATGCGCACCTTGGAACATGTTACTCATGGCGTATATATACGCCATGCACAGTTTAAGGGTTAAAGATGCTAATGATGCTGGGATGTAAAGGGGGTGACTGCTGTGATGTTGCAAAGCATTGACATTTTTGTAGAAAAAAGAAATGAAATTAAAAAAAAAATGTCAAAAAGGTTCGTTCGGTGTTTGTCAGGTAGGCTGCTCCATGTTTCTTAAAAAAAAAACAGTTGAAATAGTTTGAAAAACGGACAAATGCCATTTAGGTTTGTTCAGTGTTTGTCGGGTAGGTTGCTTCATTATTGAGAAATAAATAAAAAATAAAAAACAAATGGAACACATTTGAAACAAAGAAAGATTGTCATAATGGAGCAGCCTATCCGACAAACACTGAACGAACCTTTTTGAAATTTGTTGTTTTTCAAAAGTTTTCATTTTTTTTTTTTTGAAACATGAAGCAGCCTACCTGACAAACACCAAACAAACCTTTTGCTATAAAAAATGAAAACAAAAATTAAAGAAATATGAAGAAAGAAAAATATCATAAAGGTTTATTCAGTGTATGTAAGGTAGGTTATTATTTAAAACATCGAATATCATATTGA